AACTTGGCATAATCCTGTTCGATTCTTGTTTATAAATTTTTTTTTTTTTTTTGATAACGTAAAAAATTTAAATTATTTACAATGCACACAACCTCCCCGTTTTATCATTAAGTGGAAACTTGGCATCGTCGATTCTTGTTTTTAATATTTTTTACTTGCAAATTTGAAATGTAACACGTGATCCGAATCCAAAAAGAATATTATTATTTATTAAAATTAAATATAACAATTTAGGATCTTGTACAAGTTAGAAATGTCATAGTAATATATAGCGATTACATTTCCGATCTGTGTAACCAATCTCTACAATTCAAACACCATCCATCATAAGTTATTATAGCATCCTCTCTAGGTAAAGTTATTCAAAACAGTATTACTTTTCACTTTAAAACTAAGATATTTCTCCAATATTACCTTTATAAATTTGATGGGTGGTTGAGAAGATGTAAAATATTATAAGCTTTCATATGGGAATCAGAGAAAATGGCAAAAGACCAAAAAAAACAATAAAATTTTGGGATAAAATTATTTACCAGTACCGAAAAATAAGCTTTCCAGTGACAAATAACAATTTTCTATAAAAGCGTGACAATTAATATAATGAATTGTGGGTGACAAACCATTAAAAAAAGGGAAATGTCATAGGGCGCTATCTTTCGGGACTTTACGGTATGCAAACAAATAGGGAAAAAAGTATGGGCAAGAGATCATCAGTCATAATGACCAAAAAAGAGATAATTAATTTCCAAATGCAGCAAAAACTTTTATCACTAAGGCTTTTCTCCGAGTAAAATTAAGGTTTGTGGCTAATTTTATCATATGGACGGGTTTTGGAAATTGGGGTGTAAGCATTCATTACCAGTCATTTCTTAGATAATAGTCTGCGCCAATATTTTTATGGGTTTAAGCTATTGCAATGAAACTTTTGTCTATTACGATACGCTAGATTTTCTTTAAAAAAAGATTACTAAGTAACATTGTTCGAATGTATGAAAAGATTTAAAATTCAAACGTTTGATCACCAAAATTTCGGAAAAAACACTTGAAAATCGTTTGCGTGACAAATCTTCTGAGTGAATGATTGATTATTCCGTCATTTTTTTTTTTGCTTCTATGTTACATTTATTAAGGGGATTGAGACCACGCGACAAAATTTTAAATTAAATATTTCAAATTCAGTTAAAAGCCATTATTTATTTAAATTTCATTCAATCCCTATTATAATTGACCAATTTGATGGCTGAATCAAAACAGTTAATAAATTCTTTACATATATATACATAAATCCCTTAGCATCGGCCGGGATTAAAGTTTATATTTAGTAAACACCGATTTTTTTTTTATTTTAAAGCAATCAGATAATAATAATAAATAACAATAAAAATTGATATTATATTATTATTATCATTAATCAAAGACTTTTGGTTGATACTATTTAAAGTAATAGACGGTGAGTGTGAATTGAGTCACGTGAGTAGACAATATTATTATTTGATCTACATCATGTTCGTAAAAGATTTTTAATACTAATACTTATCACAGTTGACTCAAAAACAGCCAATTAAATTGTAAGTTTTCTTATCTTAATGAAATTAATAAATTAATCAATTAGGAAATGATAAATTACTTTTCATTTTATAAAAAAAAAAATTTTTTTTGATAGGTTTTCCCTTTCCTTTTTCTTCATTTTCCTTGTTTTCTTTCCCACTATTATTATACATCAATGATAAAGCAAATGAATGTGATAAAATAATCATACCACGACAGTTGTTATTGTTATTTTTATTTTTATTGTTATTGTTATTAATTTATTATTATATAATTATATAAAAATGCTTTTATTAAAAAAAAAAGCCGTAGATTTCTACTAGTTTTATTTTAGTCTGTCAAATACAATGGAATATATACATATTCGGTATATATTTTTAATATCAACATTACCATTAGTATATAAATACTCGTGATGTGAATTTTTTTCAAAAAAAACCGCGAAACATTATTTTTTATAAGATTTTTTACACCTACTCTGTCATTTTTAAATTAAATTACTATTTTTTAATTTATTATAATTATCTTTTATATAAAGAAAATTAGTAATTTAATTAACGTGTAAAACACCAATTCAACAATAATACTCATCAATTTATTATCATAAATCCATCATAATTTAATGATAGTTTTTTTTCAATCATACATTCACATTCTTTTCATTCACGAATGTCATTTTGTTTTTCAATTCGCAACTTATTGACCTTAATCATTTTTACAAAGCTATCTTACAACGTTCATTATTCCTTTCTAGAACCTTTTCTCGTCATATCTGTACTCATACTCGTAATTGTAGCAATGCAAGAAAATCAAAAATTTATCCCACGTCTTTTAACCGATCTAAAGAAATTGTATCATGGTGATGTAGAAGGCGATGTGTTAATAAAAGTTGGCAAAGAGCCTGATGAAGTTAAAGAATACCAAGTCCATTCTTTCCTTATGAAAGCAAGATCTAATTATTTTAACGCGGCTTTATCAAACAAATGGAACGAAACAACAATACCAATTAACAATGATGATGGCGAAAATGCACAAGGTGGAAATACAAAGGATGCAAAGATTGTATTCAAAAAACCAAATATAAAGCCAAAGATATTTGATGCATTATTCTCGTAAGCTTTTTATATATGATAAGTGAAAAAAAATTGTATATAAATATCGATTGACTAATTATCATCTCATACATTAGATATATTTACATTGGCGAGGTTGATTTGACAGATTATGATGGATTTATGTTAATAGAATTGTTGGAAGCTGCTGATGAATTATTGATGAATGATGAATTGGTGTTACACGTACAAAAATATTTAAGAGACACGAAAACCGATTGGATTCAAGAAAATCTTTTCAAGTTTCTAAAAAAAATTTTTTTATATGATCATGAAACTTTCGAGTCGTTAAGAAACTATTGCATAACAATTCTATTACAAAATCCTCAAAGTTTTTTTGATTCCGAAGAGTTTTTAAACAGTGATAGAATTTTTCTATACCAATTATTAAAGAGAGATGATCTAGATTTGGAAGAAGTTGAAATTTGGAACTATTTAATAAAATGGGGAAAGCATCAATTTAAAACATTTCTTGATGAAAATAACGACAATGATGATGATGATAATAATATCGAGAATAAAGATGATAGCATTGAAAATATTGAAAATAGTGATGATGATGTTAATGATGGCAACAATAATCATAATATTCGTGTTTATGTCGATAAATTGGATGGATGGACACACGAAGATTTTTATAATTTTGAAATCATTTTGCACGATCTAATTCCACTAATACACTTTTTTAAAATATCACCACAAGATTTCTATTTGCACGTTTATCCTTATCACGAAATTCTACCTAAAATGTTACTCGATGATTTATTAGGCAGTTATCTATTACCAAACTATATTCCAAAGCAAATGAAACTACTCTTCCCAAGAAAATCGCCAGTCGATTCGAAAATTATCACACTTAAGCATTCAATCATAATCGAACAATGGATCGATAAAGAAGATGTTAACAACAATACTATTATAAACAATTATTGGAATAGTTTAAATACACAGTCATCATCATCATCATCATCATCATCATCATCATCAACAACAACGACAACATTACTTACTAATTATAATAACATTAATAGGTATGATTGGTCGTTATTGTTTCAAGGTAGCAGAGATGGATTTAGTGGAAAAGTATTTCATGAGAAATGTAATGATAAAGGTCCAACTGTTGTCGTAGTGAAGATTCGTGGTACCGCGGAATTGGTGGGCGGTTATAATCCAATTGATTGGTGCTCTCCCACCATTTATAAAACTTTCGAGAAAGACAGTTTCATTTTTTCACTCGGATCATCGCATAAGATCGATAAAGCGATCATTAGTAGGTTATTACCTGAATCTGTCGACACACGATTCTTTCAAAAATCCACTACTGGTCCAATGTTCGGTAATCATGATTTATATATTTCTGATGAATGCAATAGCAATGTAAGTAGCAGAGAATTTATTTTTATTTTGCATGTAAGTGTGAATATACAAGTGATTTAATGATTTTTCCTTTTTTTTTTGCAGTATTTGTCTATGCATAAGAGAGAAAATTATGCTCGTAGGATACGTGAACACGGTCACTTCCTGGTTGAAGATTATGAAGTGTTTAAAGTCACCAAAAAAATCTAATTATGTTATGGTTTATCGTTATATTTTTCTTATATTTTATATTTTAAATGTATTATTTTTTAATTTATATGTTATTCTTAAATACCTTTTTTTATGCCAACGAGAAAAATAAATATAATATATGCCTTTTTGATTCTTATTTTAAGAATTAAAAATTTAAATTATGGGTAATTCACCATTTGCATCAGCACAGTTATTGAACTTATTTAAATCCTTGAAATCGGTATCTTTTCCGCAATTGAAATGAGTTATAATCAGTGCACAGAGCTTTTCTGTATGGTCTAGAAGAAGATATTAATTTGAAGTTTTTGAAGTATGATGCCTTCAGAAAGCTGTGACATCAATTGATGCCAGAAATTCAAATTTTAATAATAAACAATTATTGTTCACTTATATTTAAAATTGATTAATACAATGTTTATTGGTTTTTCCTTCCAAGCACATATATACGCACAATGTATATTTCCAATATATAACAATGTATGTATGTATATATATAATATAAATATAAATTGTTTACTGTTATTTTTCCCAAAAAAAAAGTTTTTGGGTATGTATGTAAATGTAAAAAAAATGTATTAGATTAAAAAAAAAAATAAATCAAAAATAAATAAATGCGTTGAAATAAATAATCTAATTTATTTATATACATGATAATTCTAATTAATTATAAAAGTATAAAGACAATAAATATATAAAATAACAAATATATAAAATATATTAATATAAATAATATAAAAAAATAAAAAATAAAACAGTCCCTTTCTGTATATTTTATTTAATCGGCATTAATCCTATAATAATTACAAATGAAATGATATTGTTATAAGAAACATTAAAATTTTCCACCAAATAAATGTTCTTTTCAATAATACTTACTTTGACTATCTGAATTGTACGAGTTTGACAAAATTCCATTGTTTAATGAATAAATTGCAGCGTTAATTCTTTCGATCCATTTAACCTGTTCGTCATAACTAGTTGCCCTAACTGTGTGTCGTCTATCAGCATCATTTTGCTTGACAATAACTTGAAAACAAAATGGTTGATCTGCTGCATCTTCCTCAAGTGCTCTAACCATCGCGTATTTGAGATTAATGTCTCCTTTATACAGCAATTTCCCTTGGAATTCTATACAAAACAATAATAAATCATTAAATAGGAAATGAACTCGCACATCTTTAGTTGAGACGTAGGATGGTTTTGTTGATGATGACGGTTTTTTTGGCATGACTTTAAACAAGTCGCCTTTATATATAAATCTTCGAGCTGGATCGATTATATTTGTTGGTAAGCCTTCTACTTGTGTTTGAATTTCTAATACTCTTTGTTGGTTTTCTGCATCTCTTATTCTAAATAAAACAATTTTTTTTGGAATAGAAAATTGTTAAAGAATTATTTAAATTATATGATATTATTACGATAATACACTACTTACTTTTCATTAACTTCGTCAGCAATTGTAGAAATTTGTTCTACACATTTTTTAAGTGATTTATAATCTGGATGTGACTCGACCGTATAGTTGAATAATTGTTCCAATAATAATCTGTACCGTGGAATTCTTTGAATTGGTAAACTTATAAATGAATTGAATGGTAGCCCACCTAATTCAGGTTTAGATTGACAATTCTAATGAAAAGATCACAAATGATAATAAAAAATTTAATTAAATTGATTAAATTAAATATTCATATGTAAATGTGCATGTGTTTATTTATATATATAAATAAATATATGAAGATACTTACTAATAAATATTTTTTAAATTCTTTGCTTTCATTATTTAGTCTTTCCATTGTTGATATTGCTTGTGGAAAACTTTTTAAATAAATTGTATACATTTTTAAAAATGGCGCCTAGTCAAATCAAAAAACAATATAATATAGATTAAAATATAATACAACATTATTTTCAATTCTCTATTATCATTATACTAACAATTTGCAAAAAAATATCACTAATAAGCTGTTTAGGATTCCAATTATAATATCTCTCCTCTAAATTTTTCAATAACTGTTCATGTAGTGCCAACAACTGCTCAATATTTCCAAACAATAAAGTAATATCTTCAAGTGTTGCCATAGGGTTTTTGTTAACAGTTAGCAGCACATTTCGCGACATTGATTTTTGATAATCTTCACGTAGCGGTACCAAGAATACACTAACAAGTTTACGTAAACCTTCAACATATGTTTTTTCAGTGGTCACTATCTCTTTTACAGCTGCTTCTCTTTTACGGTTCCTTGATAATGTATTCATTGCTGAGAAATGGAAAAGTATATTAATGAATTGAGAAATATGTTAATAAATTTATTTGCAATAATATGTATGTGATTGATCACCTGTTTTTTTCTTGTCCTCTTTTTCTTTTTCTATTTCTATATTATCTTTCACTTCTAAAACGTCGTTAATATTATTACTATTACTATCATAATTATCGTCATTTTCATTAAAATTATTATGATTAGGATTTTCATAATCCTCATCTTTATGATCATCATCATCATTATTATAATATGATTCATAAAGTTTATCAATAATATCTTGAGCGCCTGTAAACTCAAATGTTGAAGGTGTAAAAGATGGTACACGTGGTGCACTATCTCTAATAATATTAGTGTGAGATGATTTTTTATGATGTGAATTATAATTTAATGGTGGTTTTTTGCTATTGTAATTATCGTAATTATTATCATTTGTAGTAGTATTATTTTTACTTGTATTAGCATTATTAGTATTAAATGAATGTTGCGAATGTGGTATTTTTGGAGCATAAGAATATGGCGAGTATGGGGTATGTGGAGTTTGTGGGGTATGTGGAGTTTGTGGTATAGGTGGATAATACGCTACGTTGTATTCTTCTTGATTTTGATTATTGTAATAAGGAAATGTATTTTGTCTATGTGGCTGTATTTGTATAAGAGGATTTGTTTTTGCAGCAGGCATTGATTTATGATTTATTTTAGCTGGCTCATTATTATTAGCATTATTGTTGTTAAAGTAGTTGGATGATGTAGTGTTGATTGGAGCTGTAGGATAAGGAGAGGAGGGTGTGATAGGAGTTGAAGGAAAAGAAGTCATATTTGTCGACGCCGACGATAATGACGATGATGTTGAACTTGAAGATAAGGTCGATGATATAGATAAAGATGATGAAGCATTAACAATACCGCTTCGTTGTCCTTTGCTTTTTAATGAGTCAGTTCTTGCATAATAATTATTGTCATAATCGCTACTATTTGAAGGGCTCCTTTTCATGTATACGTCATTTGGTGGTAAATTTGGTGATAGTCTATTTAATTCATTATCATTAAAGTTATTATTAGTATTGTTATTATTGACATTGATATTAAAGTTATTATTATTGTTATTCATAATGTTCATTTGATTTATACGTTGTTGTTGTAATCTTGAAAAAGAAGGAGACGGTGATGATGAGAGTGGCGGTGTTGATGGATAATTGTAATTTATCTGTGATGTTGGTGAAGTATTATTACTACTACCATTCTTATTATTATTATTTCCATTATTAGTTAAATTATTGGCAAATGCATCGTCTATATTATAATAATCAATATTATTATCTATAGATGATGTTGTCAAAGGTGCTAATGAATTAGGATATTCATTGTTAATTTGGTTAATTTGATGATGATGAAGTTGATGATGATTTTTATTACGAATATTTTCATGAGATTTATGACTGTAAAACCCTGAATCTCCACGCGACATTTTTTTTTTATATTAATATAAATTTATTTTTTTTTTTTTTTTAGAGCTCCAACTTTATTTTTTAAAAACGAATGAATCAAATTCTAAATAAAGGTGAAGCGAGGGAAGAATGTTAAAAAAAATATTTTTTTAATTATATAAAACTTGTTGGTTTCAATTCACTTACTGTAATAAAAAATAATCAATTATCAACCATAAATTAATGAAAGAATTAGTTAGAAAAACAAAGATGGTGATGTACTCTTTTAAATTATTTTCTAATTCAATTAGAAATTCTAAAAAAAAAATAATAAATAGTAGTGATAAAGTAAAAAAAGGTTTAAATAATGGAGGAATTTTTTTTTATATAATTAAAATTTATTTAATTTGATGCTATGATACTAAAAAAGACAAGAAATAAAAGGCTTTCATAAAGAGTGCTACACTACATTTCCCTCGTGAAACAAACAGTGATCAATTTAATATTAATATTAATTGGTGATATCCCTAAAAAAAGTAAAAGGTCACAACTTATGCTATCAGTATTCAAATAAATTATTGTTTTGATGTCATAATTTTGCACAAATTTTGTAATATTTCTTTTTGAAAGGATCAAGTTTAACATAATTTTAGAAGAATCTTTAAATAAAAAAAGTTAAAAAAAAGAGAAAAATGGACTACTGACCAATAAACTATAAATATTCAAAGCAAAAGGTTTTAAATAAATCTTATTTATATTAGAAGTTCATTATTGCATTAGAAATGAGGTACAATCAATCCAAGTATAAGCATAAACCAATTGGCGAACAAAAATGTTTGGAAGCTGCGGAATGATATAAAACTCATTCGATAAAAAGACTGAGCCGGACCATATAAAATGATAACGGAAATCAAGAGCTACCCAAGATTAATATCTATTGAGATTGAGGTTAGGTGTAGATTTAATAAAAATATCCTTTTCGCTGCTATGAAGGTTCCTCTTTCGAGTATAAAAGTTCCGTGGACATAAAAGAGGCTTCAATTAGTTTAATTTAAAGAAGAGCTGAATGTTATGGAAGACCAGAAAATGCGTGATTAGGAGTTGATACAATAACCAACAATTTTCGTGATCCACTGCTCGAAAAAGAGTATTCGAACGAGCTTCGTTTTTTGTCAATTGCGTAAAATTTTAACATAATGCATGCCAATTGCGTTTAATAAATTGTTATTATTGAAGATAAATGGCAAAGAACGAAAACCTTCTGCTGAATTATAGCGAACAAGTGTGTTTTGCCTTCTCAACCTTTATCCGATTGAAAAAGGCTCCTAAAAATACAACAGATTTGGAAAATGCTTTCAAGAGGAATGGTCTAACATTCCTCAAGAAATTTATAATAAATTGATCGAAACATGTATCTAATAATGAACGGCCAACGGAATACCATTGGAAAATTTTCCACCATCACGTGGATGACAAGGTGGGTGATGGAAACTTTCTAATTTTCCAAAACTTTATTTTGCACGGTCTTAGTATTATTGCGATTTGTTTATTTTATTTATTAAAAAATCCTTCGGCAAAAAGGTGTAAATTTGATTGGAATGAGCATTGCAGCCCAACAGACATTGATTAATTTACGTGTCCCTCAATAATAAACTTTCTAGGGTTTGATATGTTTGAGTTAATACCGTTCATTGATTATTTAATTTCTGATAACACAACAAAATTTTTACATTTTATATGAAGAATATGTTAACCAATGTAATAATAATATGTTGAAAACATGCCAATACCACGCTGAAAACAAACGAAATTTATTTTCCGTATTAGTATTAGTGTGAGCCCATATGTTTCCCGGGTATTTCCTATATTAATAATAAAAATATACGGAAAGGCAGGAAGACTCCGCACTGTATTTCTGTTTCTGTGTCAAGATTTTCTATATTGATAGGGCAGATCTCTCATACAAATTAATTTATTGTCTTCATGTCCATTTAAAATAAAATTGAGGTTGTATTCAGGGAAAAGGGTCTTTGCTAAAAATTTTATATATTAATATAGAAATAAACAGTTGATCAAAAGATTGCTACATGCATGTCTTCCAAATCCATTGGTTATTATTATGGTACTGATCAACTAACGACATCAAATTTTAGGGATATCTTTAAGATTAAAAAGGGTTTAGGGTCTCACCAAACAAGATAACAACAATAATGAAAAATCTTTCTTGTCTTTAAAGAACAAACCAAACCAAAAAAGTAAAGGTCATTTTTTTGTATTAAAAATTTTTATTCGATACTTCCATTTTAGGTAATTCTTGCCAAAATTATAAGAATTTTTAACAATGTTAATTTAGAATATTTGATTTTGTAAAATAATCAGTATAGCTAGGGAAAAATATTTTTTTGGATATATAATGATGCAATAAATCATTAGATGGGAAGAGGGAAATAGGCATCGACAGAATTATGAAATATAAAAAACAATCATATAATCAATAACAAAAAAAGTAATAATATTGATTCGATTGATGATTAAAACAAAAACCACCCTTTTTTTATTTAAAAAAATTCAAACCCTTGAAAATAATTAATTCGCGAATAGTAAAATGCGGGTTTGATAATAAGCCTATTAATTAATTAATAGAATCTTTTTTTAATTGTAGAAATTTAAAATGACAAATTTGGCTTCAGTAGGTGAAATAAAGCCACATTCACATTATGGGCTAAATGCAAGAGAGATGGATACAACTAAATTGAAGTCTTTGAAGCATTGTAATTTATTATCATTATAATTATCATATGTTTGCTTTAATATTATCAACCTTATCATTATTATATTAAAAGAATATAGTAGTTTATTGGAAATGATAAATATAACGGTTGATTTACAATGAATTTTTGTTGAATAATATACTTGGAATTGTTCATTATTAAATATTAATATTAATTGGAGAATATTTATTTATTTATAATTAAATTTATTAAATTTATATAATATTTTTTTAAATTAATTCTAGTTTATATTAATACTGCTATCAGTCAGTATACTACTATCATATACTACCATTAAAGGTATGTATGCAACATTGCATTAATTAATTTTTTTTTCCAGAAAGAATTGTTACGCGATAATTATTTATTTATTATTATTTTAGAAGATACATTGGTAATTTGATTTACATTAAACGTTTGTCAAAGATGCAAACTTTTGATAAAATTGTACACTTTTGACTATTTTTAAAAAAATTTTTTTTTATCAATGATAGAAATTCAATATCCAAATATTCTATACTACTATTATTAAAAGGCATGTACACAGACAGCATTGCATTAATTAAATTTTTTCCTTTCCAAAAAAAAAGGATTTATAGTAAATGATACGGCGTACAATTAGAAGGAATTGTTGCGTGACTATTATTATTAAATTCTTTCTTTGTATATTAATTATTATTTGGTATTAATAGAATAAAAATTGCTGAAAAGTAGAAATTATTATTCCCTTTCTATATATAATTCTGTAATTGTGTAATTTCATGTGACTTTGTATAAAAAAAATTTTTTTTTAATAATGTGCAAACCACGAATTAATAATGTTAATATGTAAAGCTACTAAGTTAATAATTATATGTGTAGAGGAATATAAGGATGGCGGATAGTTGTAGCCATAAATTTTTTTTTAAGACCAATCGGCGCGCAGTGATATTGTAACATGCTGCGCGCCGAGTTAATATCATTGGACTGTATTTTGGATCTTGGGATTAACATTAGACAAAAGTATTATTGTTATTATATATTTATTTTATTTGTAATTGATGTTCTATCTATATATTTATAATATGTGTGTAATATAATCAAAAGCTAAATTCACACCAAAAAAAATTTTATATCTATCCAATATATACACGGTGAATATATTCTTCATTTATTAACCCGGTAACCATTCTTTAAATTTGATAAAGTCTTAAGCATTATCTAAATCTTCAAAAGCTTTATCTAATTTATCTAATCTATATTTTTTCTACCAAATCCAAATGCTACCAATAACAGCCACAATAAACTACCAGAAAATATTGGAATGACCAAATTATCGTCTAATCCATAAACATCAACCAATTCACTAATTCCGCCAATCACACCAGTAAGTAATGATAATGTTAACAATCTATTAATACCACCATTACTACTATTGCTATCACTGTCATTAATGGAAACATTGTAATTGAAGCTTGTTAAATCAGATGAATTATTATTCCAGAATATTAATCCAATTGTTGTACCAACTACAATTGCACCTAATGTTCCTGCTAGTGTTTTGCCAGTACTAAACTTATAAGTATATTTTCCATATTTCCTGCCAACAACTGAAGCTGCTGTATCGCACCATGACAATA